AAAAAATAAAAAGAACAGAAGGTAGCTTTGTTGACTTACCAAAGTAGTTCAATCCTCGCTTTCTTGCTGGTTTAACAACACAAGAAGGAGGTCTTAAGGCAATCCAGCCAGTGCAAGAGTGTTTGCAGCTGCATAGCTGAGCTCCCGGATAATCCCCTTGCAGCTGGCTGGCAAGATAAGGGTCAGGCCATCCCAGGGACACCTCCCACATGAGGCCTTCCTGCAAGTTTGCTACATGTCACCAGAAGCTGAGCTTTCATTGAGCAAGTGTTCCAAGAAATGGGAGCTGACACTGCTCGCAAGAGCATGTTTGCTGGGAAAGATGCTGACAGTACTGATAACTGTGATTCAGGGCCCACACGTTCAGTCCAACAGAAACATCGCAAAGTCTCAATTGGAAAGCAGTGACTCAAAACGCATTTCAACCTGGAAAGTGATGTACCGTGCTCCCTGAGCACTGTGGCCTTTGGTTTCCCATCCCATCAGGAAGACTATATTTGGCAGTGGTGAGACCTAGCACTTTGCAGTGTGCTGACCCTAGGGTTTCCCTTGAAGCAGTGAAACAAATCTACTCCTAATTAGCAGTGGAAGATCTACTGAAAGAAATGGACTTCCAGTGACCACGCTGGTGTCAATAGTTGAGTCAAGGAGAAAGATCCTCCAGGCACTTGCATCCTCTCATGATTATTATAGGGGTAAAATATAACTCTCTGTTTCACTGTCTACATCAAAATAAACTAGTTAGATTCACAGGAAGGATGACAGACTGGGAAAGATAGTGCTCCGAGGGACTGCTCTTTTGATAGCCAAATGAGTTGGCAGCTCTCGACAAGTGCAGCATGCAGTTACTGAGAAAGGCTGACCACATCCTTTATTCAGAAGTTGCATTACACAAATACTTGAACAGATAAGTCCAACGGTCATAACTACATTTAGGTAGAATTTGTCTTCTCAAGGCCATTGCACCTTCACAGACATTTTTCTGCCATCAGTCTGACTCTAGACATTGGTTATGCTCCTTAGGATAAGGCCACCAGAGTTATCTCATGAAACTTGCCCCATTGGGCCCAACTCTCCATTACCTTGTACTGTGCACATTGTACACAGCAGAAATTATGAATGCCCTGGATGTGCTGATGCTAAGAGAATTTAGGATGTAAACAACAGCAGAGTTTGGCCCTAACCAAAGGAAAATCTCTGAACAAAACAATCAAGCTTTAAATTTCTAGTACATTGGAGCAGATCATTCCAGTTGTTTCACTGTGGCAGGCAGGCAGAGTGGGAAAGAGATCTTAGGCTAACAAATGAAGCCAGTTTTTCCTGCAGGGCCTGCTTTCCACTTAGGAGCAGCTTGACTACTGCAGGGTAAGTTTGATCAGCAAACTTACCTTGTCTCATGCATTTGGTGCTACGTTTATTCACAGGCAGGTGTCCAGGCCAGGTGTGGCATGGAGCTGATCTAGAGCCAGCCCCATCATGGCTCTGCATGCAGCACAGGCTCAGCAATGCTCCTTTGGCTACTTACAAAACGGATTTCCTGGGACTGGATCCTGCCTGGATGCCCATTGCTGATTTAGACACCCCTCCTAGGGGAAGCTTAAAGATAGAACTGCAGGATCATCTCATTCAGCACAGGCCAGAAATCCCATGCAGGAAGCCTTGCCTGGAGCCTGCTCTGATGGAATTAGATAAAATGAGAAACAGTCAGTTTTGGTCTCTCCTGCCCGTAGTGTATCACCAATGCTGCTCAAGGGAACTGAAAATTAAACAGAAAGATGTTGCTTTTTTGAATGTATTTATTTCACTGATCAATTCAGGTAGTAAACATTATTAATAATAATAACAATAATCATTTAATAAAATGGATATGTTTTAAAAGGTTTCATTTTTCTTTGTTCACAATGACAAAATGTTCAAACAGAAATTTACAAAAAAAATATATATTATAATAACCCAACAGATGGACAGGAAACAAAGAGCCTAGGAATGGAGCAGGGGGTGAGGAAGTCGTATGGCAGGAGCAAGCCAGCATTAAAGCACAGTGGGGTTTGTGAGGAGGAGAAGGGAACACCATTGCAGAGCACAAAGAACGGGACCCCCTCCTTCTCAGGGGGGTGGTGGGGGTGGGGGAAGTCATGCAGGGAGGCAGCAAGGACTGCACAGGCA